TGTGTGTGTGTGTGTGTGTGTGTGTGTGTGTGTGTGTGTGTGTGTGTAGGGGTTTCTGATCAAGGAAATTTACTTGGAAACTAGATATAAAGTAGTGTGAAAGGTTCCAGGGGAGGCGGGGATTCCGTGTGTTTAATTAAAGGTATTTATTGTCCCTCACCTTACTCCACTTTTGTCTTTCTTTTAATGTTATGTTCTCTTTCTCTCTCCCTCCTTTGTTCTTTCTCACTTCTTTAAATACTTCTGTCCTACTTCATCTTCTTCCCAGGTTGTTATCGGCAGGAGATGTGCAAACTGATGTGTGAGCGGCTAAGACTCAGCACGTGGAAAGTGCAGCTAGGTGTCCTCCAGTCGATGAATGCTTTTTTCCAGGGGTAATTTACTTCATGATTCAGGTTTTTATTTTATTTCCCCATTGAATGGAATTCTTAACATTTTAAACAATAGATTATTTTTTTATTCTAATTTTTGTTTTTTAGTATTAATTAGTTTATTCACTTTGTATCCCAGCTGTAGCCCCCTTCCTCATGCTGTCCTAATCCCACACTCCCTCTTTCTTCTCCTCCCATGCCCCTCCCCCAGACCACTGATGGGGAGGTCCTCCTCCCCTTCCATCTGACCCTAGCCTATCAGGTCTCATCAGGACTAGCTGCATTGTCTTCCTTTGTGGCTTGGCAAGGCTGTACCTGTCAGGGGGAGGTGATCAAAGAGCCAGCCACTGAGTTCAAGTGAAGAGACAATCCCTGCTCCTCTTACTAGGGAACCAACTTGGAAACTGAGCAGGGCGTCTAGGTCCTCTCCATGCATGGTCCTTGGTTAAGTATCGGTCTCTGCAGGCTCCCCTGGGCCCAGGGTTTTGATTTTTTTGGGGGGGGGGGCGTTGTTTTTTGTTTGTTTTGGGTTTTTTTTGGTTTTTGGTTTTTTTTTTTTTTTTGGCTCTGTTGATATCCTTGTGGATACCAGGTCTTTTTATCTCCCTCTTCTTCCATAAGGTTTCCTGCACTCTGCCCAAAGATTGGCTGTAAGTCTCAGTATTGCCTCCCAAACCCTGATGAGAGTCTTTCAGAGGTCCCCTGTCCTGTTCCTTGTTTTTTCCTACTTCCGATGTCTATCCTGTTTGCCCTTCTGAGTGAGGTTTCAGCCTCTTCCCTAGGGTCTTACTTGTTGTTTAGCTTCTTTAGGACTATAGATTTTAGATTTTAGTGTGTTTATCCTACATTATATGGTGCCATTATTTTTAACAGTCGGATAATAGTCTAATGTGTAAATTTACACATTCCTGTAATTAATTTAGATATTGCTAGTATCTGAAGTAACATAAAATGACACATACAGGTAGAAGTTATGCTAGGAGTTTTTAAACTGTTATATGTATATCACTTTTATGTTTTTAGGTTAATGCTTCTGGAAGAAGAACATACAGATCCTGAAGCTCTGGCTGAGATTCTTCTTGAAACTTGTAAATCAATTACTTATTCTTTAGGTGAGTGAATAACAGAACTTGAACAATGTTTTTTTCACTGTTTATTTTGTTTTTGGTGCTGGTGATGAGGCACAGTCTCATGCAAGGCCCTCTACCACAGAGCTGTGTCCTCACCCATTTTTTGTTTTGAGTCAGGTTTCTCTGTGATAACCTAGCTTGGGGATTGGATTTATGGCCTCAGCCACGCAGGTGGTGACAATTATAGCTTGTGTCACCACCCTTGGCTTAAGTAACCCTGAGTCTCAGGATCTAGACTTCTAGAACTCTGACTAAACAAAACAGTGCCATACGCCCCCTAACCAAGAGTGTTTTATCCAGAATTACAGTAGAATTTTAGATTGTACCTTTATGTCAGTGTTAAACATTTATTTAGACATAGTTCCCAGTTTATAAACAGTTGTTAAAATATGTTATATAGAACCTGTATATACTTTATCAGGAGTCTCCAACTAATGCTTTTGTTCTGTTATCTTTTACATTTCTGTATGTATGTTTTCCCTGAGCCATTCAAAAGCATATTACTTGCAGTGTGTCCCTTTATTTTTAAATTCTTGAGTGCATATTTTTTATATAACAACAGTATGGCTATCATTTATACAGTATTGCATAAATGCAGTGTTGTTCTATTAATTTTTTCTCATTCATACTGTAATTTCAATAATTTTTATAGGATCCTCTCTAGCTCCCCATTAAAAAATATAGCCAAGGACCACATAAAAATATAAAATTGTTATATCTTTATCGTCTCTTTTCATCTGGTACTCTCCATCACTATTTTTTCCCTTATGTTACACTTGTGATTTTGAAAGATAGTCTTTCCCTCTCTCCTTTCTTATCTGCTGTTTGTCTGGCATTTTCTCAGAGTGAATTCTGATGTTATTGGTATATTTTTTCTCACTTCAAGAGGCACGCCTCATCCACAGCTTTCCTGATTTTGAATGTTAATTTTGTTTACCTAATCAAGGTGCCGTGTTTTTTTCTTTATGTCATTCTTATTTTTTCCTTATGTCTAATAGGTAGTGCTTGAGAACATACTTTAAGATTATTCTCCTCTTCAAAACTGCATTTATTAAGCAGTTCATGGGAAGACACTGTAAGACCGTGTAAATGTACTTCTTTTCAAAGTTAATTTTTTAGATTTTGCATGCATTGATGATTCTTCTCTTAGCCAGTTTTTTCTATGTTGATTTTTTTAACAGTATCCCTTTCCCCATATTATTTTTATTTAACATTTTATTTTAAAATGTTTTTGTTTTATATTTTTATAAATATAATCTATTTTATTAATATAAAATATATTTTATATTAAAATATTTTCTTTTATATTATTTTAGTTTATTTTGTTTATGCATTGTTAACTGTTACTTATTCATAGCCCCCCCCAACCTTTCACTGTTTTATAGTTAATCATTTTTAGGATTTATTTTTAATAATGTGTTTGTACAAATGAATACTAGTGTCCATTGAGACCAGGGGTGTTCGAAACTCCTAGGACTTAAGTTACAGACAGTTTTGAGCTGCCAACGTGGGTACTGGGAATTGAAGTCTGGGCCTTACATGCTGAGCCATTTCTCTAGTGCCTGGTTACTTTTATTAATGAATTTGTCATTTAGTTGTCCTAGATGTGGCTAATGGAAGTCCCTTTAAGCTGATTTTCTTGGCCTTTGGGTGGGTTACTATCAGTTTTGTAGTACTTCCTTCCCTGCCCTGGACTTCTGTATGTATTAATTGTTTGACAATTTCTCCAAAAAATTCAGTGCCTTTTGTGAAAGAGTATGTTACAAAAAAGCTTGTTTTACTTGTCATCCTTGGAAGTAGCTTGCTTTTGTGGATACAGAACTGGAAGCTAACCAATTGTCTTTCCAGGTTTCTAGGTGGTAAAAATGAGGATCATGCAAACCAAAGACCTTATGTGTGACATGATGATGATTGTACATTTGGGATAATACCTTTTGAATCTCTCACATCTAAAATGGGGCTTTTAAATATTACCACTTAGGATTAATGGCTTCTGTCTACAGTGCCTCAAAATAGTGAATATACTTGAATATACTTGAATAGTGGGCATACTTGATAATAGTTAACAAATAGAAATTTACTTCAAAAGTGAATCCACAGAGTTGGAACTTTTTATCCTTCAGTAGTAACATTCATTTAATCTTGGAAGTTCTATTTTTAAGACATACTTATGGGCCAGGTGCAGTAACACACGCCTTTAATCCCAGCACTCAGGGAACATAGGCAGTCAGATCACTGTGAGTTTGAGGCCAGCCTGGTCTACGATGTGAGTCCACGACAGCCAAGACTACACAGAGAAACCCTGTCTCAAAAAGCCCCATGCCCCAACAAAAGGACATACTTATGAATTGGATGTTTTTCTTCTTAGAAAATAAGACCTACTCATCTGTGAGAACAGAAGCTCTGTCTGTGGTAGAATTACTGCTTAAAAAGCTTGAAGGTGAGTTCTTCATAGATTTGATTAGAGCACCAGAAATACAGGATACTTTATAGCATATGGCTTTTTATGGTATAAAATACTCATTAATGTATGTGCACATACGAGTAGGCTGTAGGGAAGTAAAGTCATTAGATTTTTAAAGCTTTCAACTTTGTTGTCTATGTTTATATATTTCTGATGAATTATTGAGCGATAGTTATCTCAAAGTAATAAAGTTTTGTTTCTATCACGAACACTGGCATCATGTTGATAAGTTACAAGAAGTGTTTGACAGTTGTAGTTTTTGACAATTGTAGTGTTTGACAGTTTGTACAGACTGTGCATGTAACAGGACCCAGCAGTTAAGGAGCCAGATCACTTTATCAAAGACCCACTCGAGTCACCATACATGACAGCAGCATGTTTTTAGTCCTGTTTCTTTTCTTTCTCTCCCTCTCTCTTTTTTTTCCATTAAGAAATCTTATAAATTCAGTGTGTTGTGTCAGTGGTAGAAGAAAAACAGCTTTCTCCTCACATCCCCCAGTGTTATATATTTGTCACTGGTTTCAAAAAGAGGCCCATTCCCCCTTCCTCCTTCATTTTCTTCTTTTTTTTTTCCTAGTCTCCTATTTCATGAATTAATAGTGTAGAAAATAAAACAATATTTTTTACTGCCTTGTGAATTTGGCATTTGTACTTTTCCCTCTTTTTTGCTTAGCAAAACCTATCATAGGTGTCTACAAAAATGGACTTTTTAGACTCAGTGATATTAAATATCACATGATCTATTTTTTGTTATTAAAATAAAAAAAAAAACCTAAGCACTTAGCCATATGGTTGAATTCTCAGTTTCCAGGTAGATGTTAATATGTTCTAGATGATAAAAGTGAGGTTGAATAACCTGCCTGAAGATAGAGGTGATGAAACTGACCTGTTATTCCAGCCTTGAGAATGAAATGAAGCCCTGCTTACAACGGTGACAACTCGCTTGAAGTCACATCATTAGAAGCTGACAAAGCATTAGAGATGGAATTAAGATTTGCTATGCCATCCTATTTTTAAAAAAAATTTCAGCAGGTATATGTTCTTTAGGGCTTTCTTTTAAGAAACAAGTAAAAAATTGTTACCTACTCAAAGTTTTTGTTTGTTTGTTGTTTCATGATGACAGTTTTGCTCCTGTGCCTTGATGCTTTATTTTTGCCTTTTTGCTGTAGTATTGCTCATCTCCCTAGGTCTTACCCATACTGGAGAAAGGTGGAGCTCTGTGATATGCTTTCAGGTGCTGTCAGGAATGGGCTTGAGGCACCTGTCCCCCTGTTCTCTTCATCATAGAGTTGCTGTGTGATTGTTTGGGGGATAGAATATATGGAAGAAAAAGGTTTTGGTTTTTTCCTTTCTTGTTCTATGATGATTTTCTTTATTTTTTTTCCATTCAGAAGCTAAACAGTGGGAAAGCTTGACAGCAGAATGCAGAGGACTCTTGATTGAGTCTTTAGCTACTATGGAGACAGACAATAGACCTGAGCTGCAAGAGAAAGCCTCAGTATTGAAGAAAACACTTGAAAGTCTGGAATGAATGAAGAAGGGAAAGAAACAAATAAGTGCCACGTTCTTTTGGGATTGGAAATGGTGATATTCTTTAAAAACCAAGTGGGGGAAAGTGAAGATTACTCTGTAGCATGCATCATTCCTTGGCTGAAATAAAAATAATAATAATAATAATAAAGCCTTAAATTTTGCTCCTTATTAGCTTTATTTTACTTATCTTTAAGTATGTGGGCTAAATGAGCCTAAAAGAACTTGGGTTTTCGAAAGGTAGTTGTCAATAAGTCTGGCAGCCATCATTGCTAAAAACCTGAAACTATTATAAAAGTGAAATACAGGACAAGCTGGATTAAAATCTTAGAATTATGTCCATGCTAGACTTACTGCAGAAAGTAATCCTGTAAATCACTTGATTTATAGTCTCACTTCTTGCACACCTGAAGAAATAGGATTGGAGATGACCTACCTTCCTTTCTGAGGCTGGAGCCAAGACCATAGACGCAGAGTTTAATGTCCTGTCCTGGATACTTTTCTCAACCTGCTACCAAACCAAACCAGTGTTTACCCTGCCCTATCCTAGAAATTCCCCAAGGGAGGTACATTTAGGCTGTTACACAGCAGTTCTTACACTAGAGCTACACTGACTCGTGTCACTGGATTCACAGGAAATGGTTGTTCAGCATGTTTCTAGGATGAGAACAATTTGGGTTCCAAAAAATTCTGATTGACGTCCTTTTACTGGAAGATGAAAATAGATTGGAACAAGATTGTTCTACTGCCTGTATTTGTGATTATGTATTTTTCCAAAATTTAAAACAGTAAAAATTAGAGACTGCCTTGGTTTCAACCACTTAAGATCCCAAAACTGTAACAATAACTTATCACTTTCTACTGCTTACTTCATTACATCCAGTGTGGCATGAAAGGACAGAGGGAAAGCCTTTAGTTAAGTGCCGGGAATTTCTCTTGTTAATGCCTTTCTCAGATTAGCCTGATGCACTCCAAGTAAACTGTTCTGCCGGGGTGTTTCCCCGCTCTCTGCAGGTTAACGGAGGTGTCTATGGTCAGCTAAAAACTCCAGCTTGTCTTTTTGGAGCACAGTTTTGATTTATATATTCAGTACTGTCTCCTTGATGACATCAACACCTGGAATCTCTGTATTCAATATTTTTGGTCAAAACTCCATGTTTATTAGTTCAGTATTCTACAGACCAGTGTATTTTAAATATTTTTTAACTGTGACTCACAATAAAAATAACTTTTTACATCATGATTCAGAATGTATGTGTGTGAGTGTTGATGTATGTCTGAATGTAAAATCTTTAACTGAAGCAAATATTTCATGAAGAAATACTTAGTTGCTAAGTTTGATACACTTTGCTCGCTCTCTGTATCTCACTGATGTAAATGTTCTTCAGACTCACTAAATTCATTTTTTAATTCACAACTAGGTTGCTGTTCAAGTTTGATAGTACCTAAACTTCTACTATGAGATTGTTTCTGATTGAAAAAGGCTTTACAACTAAAATGTCCATTGCTCATTCGGTATCATCTTTGCTGATACTGAACTATAGTAGTGAGTTTGCAGAACATCACGAATTTAAAAGAATCTGTTGTAGAATTGCATTTAAGAATGGCTTTTGCTTTAGAGAAAAACGAATGGCTTCACATGTTCTTCAGAAGCTGTGTCCTCTCAGGACATGTTTTTTGGATCAGCATTGAATGCACTGAGGACCTACCTGGCTTTTACTTGTAGTGCCCAAGATGCTTCCTTGGCAAGAATGCAATGCAAGTCAGGTATGTTGTTGAAGACGAGAGTATAAGGATGAGAATGCTGTGCATGGTCTGTTGTTGAAACCTCATCAAATTCTATGCTTTTAAAGCTTTTGTTATTTAATACTGGGGATTACCCTTGGTGCTGAGAGTGGTGCTAAGACACCCAAACCTTAGTGCTACTGAATTATATTTTTTACTTTTCCTGAGCACATTTCTAATTTATATACTTAATGCCTTCATGTTTGCCAGCCAAATCACTTTCACAGCCAGTAATGCTGTATTACTGTCTCAAATATAGTTTGTGTTTGTTATAAATATAGTTGTGTTTATTTTAAAAGGTTAATAACCAGGATTTTGTAATTGTGGAATGTTGGTACTGGTGAACAAGTGTAAAAGTACCTGTACATACATATATCATCAGTCTCTATTTGCCAAAGCTATCTTGAATGATTTAATTTTTCTCTATTCATATGTTTACCACACAGATAACTAATTTGTAGGACTTGAACCGTATTCCTGCCATTAGTTCACTAAGTATATCTTCATTGATACAGGAAAAGGAGATGTCTGAAATGTGGCAGTTGGATTAAACATAAAAATGGTCTACAGTTTCGGTGGCCAGCGTAGCTGTTTCACTGAATGTGTCCAATTTATTGTTCCTAGGGGATCTTGTCTATAACACAGTCCACCTACATAAGGGGGTTACCAAATCCCCATTGCCTTGCCCCCCCTTTTTTAACTCATGTATTTACCAACAAAAGAATAAAGATGTGACCTCACTCCCTGGTTGGTGCCCTGTCAGCAGTAGTGCTGTGTGAGCATTGCTGCCCTTGTGGAACATTGCTACTTGCTGCTGTCATAGTATACTCATGCTGCTTGTTAAGTTCAGGGAGTTATTTTGACATTGGCACTACTGAACTGTGCAGTCTGTCATTAAATGGATATATATATAACAGATTTTTGTATTTTATATGCAACTTCTTCATAGGTCCTCTGCAATATGTACTTAGCTATCTAAGCATGAAATAGACTTATTTAAAAGGAAAACCTCACCAATGCCCCAAAGATATTAAATGGTAAATAAAAAACTGCATGACCTGGTGTTTTGAAGTAGTGCTTTTAGTTTTTGGGGTTTTTTTATAGTTTTTTTTAAATATTAGTTATAGTTTATTAACTTTGTATCCCAGCTGTATCCCACTCCCTCATTCCCTCCCAATCCCACTCTCCCTCCCTCACCTCTTCACTGTCCCTTTCCAAGTCCACTGATAGGGGACCTTCCATCTGACCCTGGTTTATCAGGTATCTTCAGGACTGGCTGCAAAGTCCTCTGTCGCCTAGCACTCCCTGGGGGAGGGGAGGGGGGAGGTCAAAGAGCCCACCATTGAGTTCATGTCAGAAATAGTCCCTGTTCCCCTTACTAGGGAACCCACTAGGGATACTGAGTTGCCATGGGCTACGTCTGAGCAGGGATTCTAGGTTATATCCATACATGGTCCTTGTTTGGAGAAACAGTCTCATAAAAGACCCCTGTGCCCAGATATAGTTGGTCCTTGTGGAGCTCCTGTCCTCTCCAGGTCATACAAATTCCCCCTTCTTTCATATGGTTCCCTGCACTCTGTGCTTTCAGTTTTTACTAAAAAATAAAATAACTATACTTTAGGAAGGAAGGGGGGAAGAAGAAGAGAAGCTTTAGTACCTTGAATATTCTCAGCTATGTCTAATTAATAGAAATTGTAGTTCCAAGACATGAACTGCTGCCACATACTTGAAAGAAAATTGTTTAGTGATATAATTTTCTGATGAAAGTGACCTTATACAAGCACGTGGAAACAAAACAGACACTTGTGTTATCGTGATACACATCACTGTTGACAGCGATACATAGGATCAGGGGAACACCTCCAGTGTAGACGACAGGATTCAAGCATTATGTTGCCAATTCCAGGTGGGAAGTTTACCAACCTGAGCTGTTAAATGCCTTTAGTACTCTTGTCATCCTGGTTTCAAATTGAGAAAAAAATGTCACAAAACATGGAAAAACCATTCTTTCAGATGATGTTTATGGAAAGATTTAATAGTGTCCTTACCTTTAAAATAGTATGTTTGTGGGCTTTGGGGGGGGGGCAGTCAATAATAAAGAAGAAACTAGGATATTCGGAGGAAAGAGATGATGACCAGGAGTAAAGAACAGATGAAAAGCATGGAAAATCTGGAATGTGATGAAGAAAAGAAACAGCTCACAACTCCAGCCCTGGCTTTCTTGCCTGGGAGGGGACCTTAAAACTGCAATTAGGAGGTAAGTCAGGCAGCCTGGGTGACAGCAGATTGACAGTCCTATTGGAGATGCCCATAGTCTTCACAGGTCTTAAACACAGTCCCACTCCCGCACTGCAGGCGTGCATTAGAGTAAAAATTTTTTTCTCAGATTGCTTTATAGCCAGACACTGTTAGGTTTAGAGGGAGCCCATTTGAGACTGAGCAACCTTGGAGATGAAAGTAAAAGTCTCAAGGAACCTAAGGATACCCTGCCGTAGTATCTTAGGAAAAGTTGCGAGAGGCAGCTGTGCAGAAGGTCAAATTTTAAGTGGTGGGAAATAAGTGGAGGTTGTGTGGTTGGTGATTCTGCTTTTTGTGGCATAAATAAATAGGTAGGTAGACTGATAGGTAAGTAGGTAGATAGGTAGATTGATTGATAGATGAAGCCAGGCCCGCTACCTGTTGTTTACTGCAGAGGTCTCAGCAAATCTTGCTTAGCCTCAGAATTGTCTCATTCTGTATATGTGGTTTGCTGTTAGAAGAGATGGCTGTGATGGATTACTAGGGTTCCACAGCCTTCTCCCTTCCTCAATTGAGTGCCCTTTCAGAAATTTTAGTCTTGTTAATAAAAGAACTGAGAACAGATCCAGAAAAATTTTCCAGGACAAATTAATAGAGTTTAAGAGAAAAATCTCAGTGTGGGCAAAGTGAGTCTCTGGAGCTTCCAGGGGGAGAAAGATGGCAAAAGACACAAAATTACATCTCTCTGAGTGAGGCGGGGAGGGTAGGCAGACCAGAGTTATGCAGAAGAGGGAGGAAAGGGGCGGGGTGGTTCTAGGGAAAGTCAACTCTGAAATGCTAGGAAAAGCATGCTGGGGTGGGAAAATGACACTTCTGATTCAGAAAAGTGGGCAGATTGATGAAGATGTATGGCTATGGCTCTAAGCAACTACACTAGGAGCAGGCTTTCTGGAAAGGAAATGAACATCTCAATGGAGGGATAATTATTTCTCCTATCTCTTTAACATGGTTTAAGGTGAAACTGCCTTTTTGGTGGATGGGCTCTTAGGTGTTTGATTGGCCTAACTAGAATGTTAGATCACAACTCAGGCCAGAGATCCCATTCTCTTGACTAGAAGTAAAGTTTTCCATTGATGAACCTTTAATAACACCGTAACATCCCTTCTAAAGAGAGAACCCTAAAATCATTTCGGAAATGGGCTGAAATTGAGTATAACCCATATAAAAATTGGGTATAACCCATTTTTACTAAGAAAATCAAGAAGTCCAGTCCTAAAGCTGCTCACCAGAAGCAATTAGTGCCTGGAGTGGAGTTTAATTCCTCATGGACAGCCTCCAGGCAGGGGTGTTCATTTAGGAGGTTAGAAACTAGTGTTCCCTTCTGGTATTTCTGGGTAGAGAACCGAGGACACTGCTGGAACTGCTGCTGCTTTTAAATCTTTGCTCTGAGCTGCCTGTTCAGTTCCTATCTTCTGTTCTCAATTTGATTTTACTTAGACCCTAAAGACTCTCAGAGTAAATAAGTATCTTCAGCCAAGTAGCATGGTACAAAGCAACATAACTTTCCCTATTTCCTAAGCAAGAAATCAGGAAAATAGTTATACTCAATAACAAAACCCATAAGAAAAAAAAATCTAAGAATAAACCTAATGAACAACTATAAAGTCCTCTACAGTGAAAACTATAACTCTAGAATGTTGGGGCAATCTTTTTGTGCACTGTATTAAGGTTGTCTGTATTCAAATGCTGATTTCTGTACCAGCAGAGATCTGATTACAGGCTGTATTGTTATTCTTATGGCTGCATCATATTTTGTAAATACTCCAATACCTTTTCCTTGGTTTAATAAAGAGCTGAACAGCCAATAGCTGAGGCAAGAGAGGATACGTGGGATATCCAGACAGACAGAGTAACTCTGGAAAAGAATCTGAGGTGGGAGGATTTGCCAGCCAGACATGTAAGAAGTTGGATATGTGGTACTGAAGAGAGGTAAAGAGCCACATGACAGAACATAGATTAATATAAACAGGTTAAGTTATAGGAGCTAGTTGGGAACAAGCTTAAGCTAAGGCCAGACTTACATAATCACTAAAAAGTCTCCATGTCATTACTTGGGAGCTGGTGGTCCAAAGAAAATCATGTTATATTAGAACATCCAATGTTCATGGATTGATAGAATTAAGTACATAAAAAATGAGTATGCTACCAAAGGAAACATAATTCCTACAGAGCTCTCCTTACAATGGAGCAAAGCACATCAAATAGCTAAAGCAATCCTTAACAAAATGAGTAATATAAAAAACATCAATACTTGTTTTCATATTATACCAAAAAACAATTAAAAAATAGCATGATGCTAGCCTTGAAGAAGAAAGACACAAAGACCAATGGACTAGAATGCCTGCCAGCTCTACCTTAGGATAACAGGGTGAGCATGCCTGTGGACATGGGTGGGATGATGAAGAGGAAGGTACAGTGTTAGCATCTTAATAGTTACAGTTATCACATTTCCTTTATCAAATATATAATGGTACACAAGTGGATTTGTGATAATTTAAACTGAGTAATAAAATAGGTAGTCATTGTTGACTGCAAAGATGCAGAATAATTAGAAATATCAATTTTAGTATGTTTATCCTATATAATATGTCTAATATCCACTTATGAGTGAGTATATACCCTGTGTGTCTTTCTGCTTCTATGATAACTCACTCAGGATGTTATCTTCCAGTTCCCACCATTTGCCTGCAAATTTCATGATTTTCTTGTTTTTAATTGCTGAGTAATATTCCATTTTGTAGATGTACCACAATTTCTGTATCCATTCCTCAACTGAGGGGCATCTGGGCTGTCTCCAGCTTCTGGCTATTACAAATAAAACTGCCACAAACATGGTTGATGTCCTTGTTGTATACTTGCGTGTCTTTTGGATATATGCCTAGGAGTGATATAGCTGGATCCTGAGGAAGCACCAGATTAATTTCCAGAGTGCTTGTACAAGTTTACCTGAGGAGGCTGGTCAGGAAGGAGGACTCTGGCTAAGATGCTCAGTCCCCATTCAGAAAGGCAAAGAGGATGGACATCGGAGGAGGGAGAAAACAGGGAACAGAACAGGAGCCTACCACAGAGGGCCTCTGAAAGCTCTACCCTGCAGGGTATCAAGGCAGATGCTGAGACTTATAGCCAAACTTTGGGCAGAGTGCAGGGAATCTTATGAAAGAAGTCGGGATAGTAACTCCACAAGGAGAACAACAGATCCAAAAAGTCTAGACATAGGGGTCTTTTCTGAGACTGATGCTCCAAACAAACAAGGACTACTCATGGAGATGGCCTGGAACCCCTGCACAGATGTAGCCTATGGCAGTTCAGTATCCAAGTGGGTTCCATAGTAATGGGGACAGGGACTGTCTCTGACATGAACTGATTGGCCTGCTCTTTGATCACCTCCCCCTGAGGGAGGAGCAGCCTTACCAGGCCACAGAAGACAATACAGCCACTCCTG